CCCCAAAACCCCAAAACCCCAAAACCCCAAAACCCCGGGATACTAATATCTTTAGGAACTAAAAGTAAATAAGAAATTAGGATTCGCACTTAATTTTTATATAAATTAGAAAATATGCAAGAAGTGATTTATTTGTTGTTTTTGTGAATTTGATAACATATACTCTTTATTGTATAGGGGAGATATGACTCTTTACTTCACTATATCTTAAAAAATCATATCTGAGTGGGTCTGATCATTTTTTCCACTCTGAAAAGAGGCTGGACATATCCTTCAAGCCTGAGGTTACTTAGGCTAAGCTTAAGAGTCTCCTCGACTTATTAGGATATGGAGCCTTCGCCAGTAAAAGATTAGTAATTTTATATCATGACTTTTGACACATGATTATTTGAACCGATGCCAAATCCACCCATTTTGGTGGTGTCGTGATTGAAGGTAGATATTCTTAGATTTAGAGAAACCTGCTTTCCATATTCCTCAGCCTGATTATTATTCTATCCGTTGCTTCCTGAAACATTTTATTCGTTTAAATTTGATAAAGGTGAAGCAGAAGAAGAGCTTGTGCTGAGGCCACAGGTGCTGCTGGAGCTATTGTACTTTGTGAAAAATAGACTGCCATTATGATTAGAATTGTGATTGTAGTTATCATCGATCAAGGCTTAGAAGTTTCTTATCTTTATTGATTTATTGCCATCCTGACTCTCAACTAATGAGTTTAGTTGGACCATTGGGAAAGCACTTCCCATGTTAGCTGCATGATTTTCAAGCAGTTTTTGGATGATTTCATTGCTCTTGAGCTCGTCCGAGGTAATGCCAAGGATCTCGAAGGCTTGCTCCTTAGTAACAAACCTTCCCTTGATTCTGAGACGCTTTTCAGCGACTTGCTTGCGACATTTGTAGCAGAACTTCTTCATCTGGGATTTCATTCCTTTCTTGTGAAGGTATCTTCTCACCTTCTCCATTCTCTCGCTGATTGAAAGGGGGCCAATCCAGGCTTTTTCCGATGAAGCTCTAGGTGTATTCTCAGCTGTTTCCTCGACTGCCTAGCTCTTTCTCTTTATTAGGTTATTTGACTGTTGCTTGAAAAGGCTGGGTCTCTTTTCCTCAGAGTCGGCCAGCTTGCTTTCGTCCAAATTCTCTAGGACTTTATTCTTCTTGTATACAGAGTTGGAACTGTTTGAGGATTATCTCTTCAACTTCAGAAGAGCAGGTCTCTATTTTCGTTCCTTAGCTCTAATTATTCTTATTTGATTTCCTGTAATGTTTGTGTTTGTATCTGAACAATTATCTTAATAATTGATTGTTTGGTTAGTTTATTCATCTTGGAAATAATCAGGTCCGATAGAATCAGTAGGCTGGCACAAAGATTAAGCGGCGGCACCTTACCAATAGAGATCTGTCATGTTCTCCTGCTGAATGTCATCTATACCGCCTAAGCTGGCTGAATTATTGCTGGGATGTACATCTTCCATAAAGTTATCTTCTTTGTAGTTAGTATTTGATAGAGTGCAGTAGCCTTCTTCTTAATGTAAATTATTTAAACATTCAAAATAGCTGGAGCGAAAGGGTTTAAAAGAATTAACACAACTCTCAAGTGACTCAACCTTCAAGTTTTTCTCGGTTTTTTCCATGATGTCCTCGAATGAGTTTCTGTGGTTCATAGACAAACGTCCGTAAATGAAGGAGTCTTACCACCCAAAGGAGTGAATACTTTTAAAGGGCATAGTAGTGGAAGGTTCGTCGATTTCTGACTGAAATATATCGTTATTTGCAGCATTTGCAGTACTGTATTCGTGCTCTTTGTCTTTCAGTAAATTTTGGTAGCATGTCAAGTTGGTATGCATCATAGACTACTAAATAGTAGGCTAGTGAGACCTTTTTAAAGGTGTTAGCATCTCATTTAGAATCATTTGTTGAGGGATATCCGATAGAAGTCTTTTCATTATTAAATACGTATATTAAATTTTTTTGAGCCGTAGATCCTATTTATATAAAATCTCTTGTTATATTTTAATTGCAAATTTATCATCAATCTGATATTTTTCAAATATATGCTCCGAGATGGGGTTTTGGGGTTTTGGGGTTTTGGGGTTTTGGGGTTTTGGGG